GAACTAATCTTTCGCCGTGAACTAATCTTTTGCTGTGAACTAATCACTATGAACGGATCATTCTCTGTGAACTAATCTTTCGCCTCGTTCTCGCAGATTCGTTTCATTTGTCACGTGAAAGAGCTCGGGTCTTTTTTGCTCTCATTCATCTTCACATTGTGATGAGTGTTTTTTTTCTTAGCTTTTCACATGGTTTTAATTACTTATGGCATTTTGTGTACTTTGTAGGACTAAAGCGTAATCATCTGCAGCCACCATACTCTCGCAATTGCCATAGTTACACTTCTAAAACATGGTATAGAGCAGGGACCCTGTTTGCACAGTATGTGGCTGAATTTGTGACGTGCTTATAGTTGGAGTCAGAGGAGAAGATGCAGAGAATAGGGTACCCCTGAAAAAACGGGACAAGCCGAAAGGAAAAGAAGATTATAATTTAGAAAGCATGTGCAAAATTAGTCTGGGAAATTAAAAGCATTATATGTCGCTACCTCCCCCCATCCCCTTTTTTACTACTTTCGAATAATAGCAAATAAAAAATCTATAAAATTTGACATTATGGTAATGCAACAAAAAAAGGTTGTATATGATGCGTGCATAGACATGTTTGAGCCAGTAGGGGGGAGAACAGTTCTTTCCTGTCCCTTGCGGTCTTTCTGTCTGTCTGCATGTGAAGTCTGAGTGAGTGGACGTGAGTAGCGGGTGTTCAGGTGCTTTTACAGAGTCTGGACGCCGTGTGAGGGACTGCATGTTGTCATGTTAGCCACTACTTTAATTATCTGCACTTGTGAAAAATAGCTTGTAATTATTTTTGTTAGTCTGATTGTAGTTGATTTGCTGAGCCACTTGAAACGGACACGCTGCGGCCTCGTTCGTCTAATTCAGTGTTAGTTAGTCAGTTGGCTTTAATTTATTTACAATTGAGCCACAATGTCCACTGACTGCCAGACCACTGCCAAGACCATCCCGTCCACCAGGAGGGTTATAGTGAACGAAGCGGAGCACATGCCCCATGACTACTCCACCACTCCCGGAGGAACCCTGTTCAGCACGACACCGGGTGGTGCGTACTTAGATATCATTATTGTATTTAATTCTTCATGTTTGTTATTTCTTTGTCGCAGAGTGTTTACTACCCTACAGCATTACGACTGCTCACATCAAGCTAACACAAGGATGTTAGCTTGATAATTATGGTGTAGTGATGTGTCGCTCGCGAGTGATTCGTTCAAAATGAACGAATCTTTCATATGAGTCGTGACTCCCGAGTCATATGAAAGATTTGTGACTCGTGACTACCGAG